GAAAGACTGGAGATATGTGGCGCGCCACAGATGGGAATCCCGACTGCTGGCCACCACGCATTGCTTCTCCCTGTCAGCTTCGCTCCAAGATGTCCTGGATGCTGCCCAGAAGCCAGGATCTAGGCACAAGTTGCTCGTCACGTCGGTTAAAGCAACCGGTATGCCAGTGCTAATGCTTCGAGACGCACCGTGCGACTCAGAGAGCCCACCTGCTTTCCGGCCGTCACCCCTGACCTCCATAAGTTACGGAGAGGAACCTTGCCAGGAGGAGGGTCTGTAGAGCTCACCCTTCCCTGGCATCTTTGTTCCGCGCCACCCGCAGGTTCCACCTCCTCCTCATCCTCCCAGGTTGTGCGGCGCCTGGCGGTCACGGGGCCGCGCCGCGCTGGGAGAGAGAGCGAGGGTAGGCAGTGCGAACACTTGGAGAGGGCCTGCGATGTTTTCCCTGCCCTCTCCCGCAGGGCTTAAAAGGCTCAGAGGAGGGGAAGGGTGGTGCGGGATGAGGAGGAGGATCCACAGGGAGAGAACGAGGAGGCTCCTCTATCGCCCCGTGCGCCCGCCTCAGTCAACGCCCTGCCCCCCCTCCCCCCTCCACCCTCGCCCCCTCCTCTGCCCCTCCGTCCTGGCCTTCGGGCTCCGTGGTGTTGGCACTGAGGGGAGGGCCTGAGGTGCCCGTGGATCTCTCCCCCGCCCGGGCGGGACGGAGCCTCTTGCCTCTCGGCCGCTCGCTCGCTCGCTCGCTCGTTCTCCCACTCTGAAGAGGAGGAGGAGGAGGAGGAGGAGGAGGAGGAGGAGGAGGAGGAGGATCAGGGAGAAGGATCAGGAGGAGGAGGAGGAGGAGGAGGAGGAGGAGGAGGGGAGGGGAGGGAGGGAGGGAGGGAGGAGGAGGAGGAGGAGGACCTCGAGGAGAAGGAGGAGGAGGAGGAGGAGGAGAAGAAGAAGAAGAAGCATAATAATAATAAGCATAAGAAGAAGAAGAAGCAGAAGACGAAGAATAAGAAGAATAAGAAGAAGCATAAGCAGAATAATAATAAGCATAACAATAATAATAATAAGAAGCAGAAGAAGAAGAAGAGTAATAATAATACTAATAATAATAATAGTACTAGTAATAATAATCATAATCCTAATAATCATAATAATAATACTAATAATAATAACCATATGGAGAATAAGAATAATAATAATATGAATAAGAAAAAGAATAATAAGAATAATAATAATAATAATAATACCAAGAAGCATAATAATAATAATAATACTAATAATAATAAGAAGAAGAAGAAGAAGAAGGGAGGGAGGGAGGGAGGGAGGGAGGGAGGGAGGACGAGGAGGAGGAGGAGGAGGAGGAGGAGGAAGAGGAGGACGAGGAGGAGGAGGAGGGGGAGGAGGAGGAGGGAGGGAGGGGGAGGGAGGGAGGGAGAAGGAGCGCCCCTTCCCGTCGAGGACGTCGCGGCCATCAAGGGGGCGGCCGAGGGCAGGCTGGAGATCGCGCTGGGCGGCGGGGAGCTGGGCCTGCGCGACGAGATGAGGCGGCGCATCGCCGAGGTCGGCGGCCCGCCCACACTCGGCATGGCACGGCCGGAGCTCTGGACGCCTCGCGTATACACATTGTTGTGATCGCCGGGTGCTGGCGATTTTCTGGGCGGCAGTGAGGTTCGCCCGCTGCTTGTCTCTTCCGCCGTCTTTTCTCTCGTTGTCTCTCCTGTCCCCTCTCTTGCGCAATTTAGGCCGTAGCTAGCGCTATGCTATGACTTTGACGGCGTGCGGCACCTCCGTATCGCTTGCGATCAAAACGTATACACTGATGATTTATATTTCTTTGCAAGTTCTTTGATTTTTTGGGGGGCCAAGATCCTTTCATTTCTAACTCTTCTATCCTGGGCCTCTTCCTGGCCAATGGGGGGCCGGGAACAATTCGAAACGAGCGCAATTAGAAATGAACGACGTGTATACAGTCTGACCGAGGTACAAGATCCATGTCGTCTTATTATTGTCCGTGTCCGTTGGGTATTCATGCGCATCCTGGGGGAGGGCACCCTCGAATGTTCTTCAGCCTGGGCCGGGGGGGGGGTCTCATGCTCTCGAAGGACACTATGATGTGCTAGGTCCGAGTGTTGCACGGCTGCACTCCTTGACGCCTCGCGTATACCTGGAATCTGGGCGCTGCAATTTTCCCACAACGGGCGATTTTGCTTTGTTTCGGGCCCCGGGACCATCACATATTGATCTGGCTCGAAACATGCAGCTGACAGATCGGTCTGGTTCGGAAATGCAGCAGCAAGATGGGGTCCAACGCTCCGGTCGTGATTTTGCGCGACGTTGCAAGTGCTTCGCAACGTCGGATCCCAAAGTATCAGCCTATCTAGAAACAATCACCCAGCGAACCGCCCTGATCAGGGATGTGTAGCGGCATGTAGTCACGCTCTTAGGGCCTCGTGGAGGCATCTTGGGGCCATCGTGGGGCCCTCTTGGTTGGATGCCGGTAGGGGCCTGAAATCCTGTCATTCTGGAGAACCGCAAAAAAAACGCCATCTAGGACGCAGATCATGCCATACTGCGCGTTGTGGGCGCCCTCGTCATTCGCTCCCCCTCAGGCCCCGACCTGTTCCAAATTCACTGATTCTGAAATTCTGTGGATCAGGCCTGCGTAGTGTACGCGTCGTAAATCCACAGATGTGCTGTTAATCGGTAGATTGGGACTCCGTATTGGATCCACGGCGTGTCCTTCAATGTGTGGATGATAGCCGCCCCCTGGCGATTCGGATCCCGTGGCCCCGTTTCACGTACACAGATGAATTTGCAATCTGTGGATTTTCAGTGCGTCGGGTATACGTCCCGAATCAACCGAATATGGCAATCAGTGGATTTGATGCAGCCCCCCGCGGGACCCGACACGACGAGACATTGAACGCCATAATCAACACATTTCACACATCAACCCGGAGCAGGCGAAATCTGCAGATGATTTGCAGATTTCGCCTGCTCCGGGTTGAGCGGTTTGGCCCCTCTCCAATTCATGACGCTTCGCGTATCCCCAACCCCCACCAGCCCCCGCGCCCCGTCCCCGCCTACCTGGCATGCTATGTGCCGCTGACGCGGCCCTGCCCCTTGGCGCCCTGCGGCGACATGGTCAGTCTGTACCTGGTCCCCCCTGGCCACAGTGTCTGTGCTCAAACGTGCTCGCCTAGCTGTTCCTGGCTGCGCACCGCTTTCCGGTTCACCAGCAGTGGCAGCGCCCCCCAGTTCGCGGCATGGCACTTGCACAGTGCTGGACAGGCGTCCCTGGCGTGCAGTTCCTAATTCTACCTCTGGCACCCCTGCCTCAGGAATGCAAGATGCATCAGCTTCCCTGGGCGTTGCAGACCAGCCACCCAGTTCCACCAGCCGCTGCTGCACCCCAGCTGCCGGTTCTGAGTGCTGGCCCGGCCGGCCTGCGTGTCGCTTAGTAGCTAATTAGGTTGGCCCGTGCCCCGGACCCCCTCTCACCGCCTGCCCTCTGCTGCGCGGCCGCGACCAAAAAATATCCCCACCAGCCCATCCAGAATTGATTGCCAGTTTTCTTTAGGCCTCTTTGGAGGCTATCTTGAGCCATGCTCGGCGATTGGCTGTCGGAGGCTATCTTGAGCCATGCTCGGCTATCTTGGGCCATCTTGAGGCTGTCTTGAGGTTTCTTGGAGGTGTGTCGGAGGCTATATTGAGCCATGCTTGGTTATCCTAGGCCATTTTGAAGGCCATCTTGGGCTATCTAGGGCTCTTTTGGAGCCATCTTGGGCCAAAAAGGGTGGGGTGGAGGGTCATTGGGAGAGGCTGGGAGGCCTTTTGGGGCCATCTTGGGCCCCATGTCTCAAAAAGAGGAGGCGCCTCAATTCGGATCCCCCCCATCGGAGGCTCTCAAACGGCGTCTTGGGGCCGTCTTGGGGCGCTCTTGGGCGCCTCTTGGGCGATCTTGGGGCCGTCTTCGGCCTTTTTGGGACCCTCTTGGGGCCCTTTCGGGCCATCATGGTGCCATCTTGAGGCGTCCAAAGCCGAGCGAGAACGCAAAACACAACAAGTGTTCCCTAGGCTTTTGAAGGGTTTTAGCATCTTGGAGAGCGCCGTGGAGGGCTCGAAGGGCACTTGGATCCGTCTTGGGGCTGTCTTGGGGCCTCTTGGGGGTAGGTCGGATCTTGACACATTTTGAAGTAACATGGGCCATCTTGGAGGCCATCTTGCGACTTTGAACGCCTCTTGGAGCAATCTTGGGCCATCTTGGACGCTCTAGCGCCTCGCGGCGCGCCCCGTCCAGGCCCAGGGGAGGGGGTAGGGGTAGGGGGTTCAGTGGAAGAGAGAAGAACAAACGCGTTATACCACCTAAGCCCAGAGGGCTGGTGGGATTCAGGGGGGGTCGGCACCCAACCTCTTGGGGCCCTCTTGTGGCCATTTTGGGTGCCTTTGGGGCTGGGGCCCTTTTGAAGCTTTGAGGCTCTTTTAGGGCCATCTTGGAATCCACTCGGGGCCATCTAGAAAGACATCGAGAACGAAAATGAAGAAATGGGTTCAGGGTATTGCAGGGTTATCTGCAGGTTCGTTCGAACGGTATTGCAGGGACCTTGTTTGCGGAGTGTTGCAGCGGTGGACTTTTCTGCGAAGGGGGAAAAGGGAGGTTCGAATAACTAACGCATTAAACCACCTACGCTCTAGAGGGCTGGTCGGTCCCCAGGCGATGTCGTCTCGAGCTTCTCCCGGCCTCCCGCCCCGCGGAGCGGGGCGTCACGCCATCCGCTCGCAAGGCATAGCGGGTTGCCAGGTCCGCCGCCCCGACCCGAAGCAACAGTTTACGACCAGATGTCCGTCCCCTTCCTTCTGGGCTCAAAAGCCGCTGGGGCCCAGAGCCCCAAGCGAACACAACTACTCAGGGCTCCTCCCACGGCGCGCCGCTCGGCCCGCTGGCCCGGGAGTCCTCACCAGACCAGGCGCCCGCACCGGCTGGCCCGATCCGCGCCGCCGGCCAGCACAGGATGCCCGACGCCGCCAGCGCCGCCGCGCGGACAGAGGCTCGGGGGAGGGCCGAGTGGAGACAGCGGCAGCTCGCCTTCGGGCGGCACCCTCGGCGCCACGGCCGGGCGCCGCGCGGGAAGAGCGTGCGCTCGGGTATGGGGGCCACCTGCGAGCCCTACCCCTGCCCCCCACACCTTCTGAGGGGCAGGGTGGGGCTCCTCCTCCTCCTCCTCCTCCTCCTCCTCCTCCCCTCCTCCTCCTCCTCCTCCTCCTCCTCCTCCTCCTCCTCCTCCTCCTCCTCTCTCCTCCTCCTCCTCCTCCCCTCCTCCTCCTCCTCCTCCTCCTCCTCCTCCTCCTCCTCCTCCTCCTCCTCCTCCTCCGCAAGGGGCCCAGGGGCCGACTTGGAGCTGCCGCCGTCTCCGCTCGCCCTGCTCCGCGAGGCCTCGGGGGTGCTCTCGGGCTGGCCCGCGCCGGCCCCCGGGCCCGGCGACGCGCCCCCGGGCGCGGGGCCGCTCGCAGAGCTCCGGCAGGCGCTCGCCAGCGCCCTCGCCGAGGCCTCCGCGGGGCTCCGCCGCGCGCAGGCGCTCCTCGACGGCGACCTCGCCGGCCTGCTGGCGGCCGCGCCCTGCGAGCGGCGGGTGGCCGGCCTGCCGCCGAGCAGTCCCTTGCCGCTGCTGCCCGGGGAGGCTCAGGAGAGGAAAAGAAGCACAGAGGCGCGAGGAATCCGTCGAGCCCCCGAGAAGCCTGTGGGAGAAGAGGGGAAGTGGAGGGGGGGGAGAAGGCGAACCCCCAGGAAAGATTGGAAGCTATATGGGGAGAATCCTGGGCACTGCGTAGATGTATCTACTCGTGTGTCCCAGGGCCCCTTCTGAGGCTCCCGCCGCTCCTCCCGGCAGCGCCCCCGTGCTGGACATCTGCGCCCCGGGCGCGTCGCCGAAGGGTTCCGCGGCCGCAGCGCTGCGGGCATCGGCGAGGGCCGCCCGCGTCGCCGAGGAGCCTCGGGTCGGGCACGCCCCCTCTACAGGAGGAAGTATTCAAAAATAGTCAAAGAATGGTCAGGGGCTTAGCTGCTCTGATACGGACGTTTTGAAACGTGGCACGTGCCGTGTTCAAAACGCCCGTTCAGAACGTGCGTGTTCCGTCTACGTGCCGAGCTCCGTATCACTACGCCACGTGCTGCGTGCTGCGTATCGGGGCAGCCAAGGTCAGGGGACGATGTTTTGATTATTTTCGCAGGCCTAGAGGATGACACCAACACCAATATCGGCGGTGTTCCTCCACCGCGGGAAGAAGATCCCGATCTCGGTGATGGTGGTAATATTTTGGCTTCCTGCCTTGGTGCTAGTGCCAATTTCCAGGCCTCCAATATTTTTGATCCTCATTTTGGGGCATGCTTGATTCTTTTACAGGAGGAGGAGGAGGCGGAGGAGGAGGAGGAGGAGGAGGAGGAGGAGGAGGAGGAGGCGGAGGAGGAGGAGGGAGGGGGAGGAGGGAGAGGAGGAGGAGGAGGAGGAGGAGGAGGAGGAGGAGGAGGAGGAGGAGGAGGAGGCGGAGGAGGCGGAGGAGGCGGAGGAGGAGGAGGACTTTTCGCCCACGGCCCGCCGGTAGAGGGGGACGTGCCCGACCAATGGAGGAGCCCCGCGAGGCGCGGGCGCCCGTGGAGCACCCGGGCGGCAGCCCCGCGTCCCGGGGGCCGCACGGGGGCGGCCCCGCCGCACCGCGCCGGGCCGGCAGGTTTCGGGAGCGGAAAAGAGGGGGGTGATGACTAGGGGGGGGTGGACATCATGGCGCGGGCCATGATATCTCCCCAGATTTCATGGCGCCTCTTCTTGTTTCATTACGTCCCTGGCCCCCCCGCGGGGCCGCGCACATGCCGCCGGCCATGATTTGCACCCCCCCCTCTTGGACCCCCCCCCTCTTGGCCGCTCCCGATAGGTTCGAGTGCTCCGAGGGCGTCCTCGCGCACTGGAGTCGCATGGTCGCCGCCCTCGAGGACAGTCAGAGCCCCGAATCCTCAGGGGTGACTCGGGTCAGGGCCAACTCGGGTTCGTGTTTCGGGGATCCGAGCCCGAGTTGCCCCGGGCCCGAGTTGCCCCGGATAGCTCGGGCGTCCAGAGCCCCAAATCATCAGGGATAATTCGGGTCAGGGCCAATTCGGGTTCGTTTTTCGGGAATCCGAACCCGAGTTACCCCGGGCCCGAGTTACCCCGGATAGCTCGGGCGCCCAAGACAGGGCTCGAGCTAAACTCAGAGCGTGAGTTGCCTATACCCCGCTTTCGCTTCCAGGCGAAACCGAGGCATACCGCCCGCACGGGAGTCGCATGAGGGGAACAGAAAGTGGCATAAACATCAAAACTCGGAGGTCCGCGCGGTTTTCTCGGATCGGCGCTGGGGCCCCCCTCCCTGGCGCGCGGAGCGCGCCAGGGGCGGCGCCGGAGGCGCCGCCGGGGGGCCCCAGCGCCGATCCGAGAAATCCGCGCGGACCTCCGAGTTCTTATGTTTATGCCACTGTTTGGTCCCTTACGCATGGTCGCTGCCCTCGAGGGCAGGGCTCGAGCGAAACGGCGCTTCTTGGCGGTATCATCGTGGGCCGCATTCGTTCTGGTCTCGTTGTGCTCAGCAGAGGCAGGACGAAGGCAGAGCGAAGAAAAAGCGAGAGCGAAGCGGAAGCGAGAAGCGTCGTTCAGCTCGAGCCCTGCTCGAGGAGATGCACAGCTCCGGCATGTCCCAGCTGCACAGCACGTGGGTCGATGCCAAAGCGTACACCCTTTTCTTCGCCAACCCAGCACACGACGCGAGGAGGATCGGGCACTCCACCGGCACAGAAGGCGCGCTGTTGGGCGCCAATTCCCGGTTCAGGAAGGCTGGCACGATGGATTCGAGCATGCTTGGATCCCTGGTCGAGGACCGCGGGGAAGAGGGCCCATCACAGGCCTGGAAGGCCATCCGCTACATGTTGCTCTTCGTCCTGCACCCTTTCTCCAGGCCACGAATGCTCTGGGACTTCATGGGCATGGCAGTCTGCCTTCACGACGTAGCGATGCTCCCGGCGCTTGTGTTCGAGCTCTCCGATGGGTACCTCGCCTTCCGCCTTTACTACGAGTGGATCTCCTGTGTCTTTTGGACAGCCGACATTATGCTAAATTTTAGGACAGGGTTCATATCGTCGGACGGACTGCTCGAGATACGCAGTCACAAGGTGGCGCGGCACTACGTCCGCTCGTGGTTCGTCCTGGACCTCATCATCACGATCTTTGATTGGTTTTCCCTCATTATCAGCATCGGTGGCTCTACGGTACTTCGTCTTGTCAGAGTGTCCTCGCGAACCAGGATGGCGCTGCGGCTCCTGCGGATGCCCAAGGTCAATGCCTCGTTCAATCAGATCCTAGGCGCGATGAACTCTGAGAGTCTGAACATAATCGCAGGCCTCGTCAAGTTCCTGCTGATCTTGATCCTGGTGACCCACTACGTGGCGTGTGTGTGGTTCTGGTTGGCCGACACCGATGGCCAAGTCCTGACCTGGAGGGGCCGCTTCATGGACTCTGACGATTCCGAGGCGTATGGTTACTGTACATCTATGCACTGGGCACTCACGCAGTTTATTCAAGAGGCTTATGCCGTTCCACCGACCCCTAAATGAAGGGGCTATGATACGGAAGAGCAGGAAGAGGAAAAGCAGGAAAACAGGAGTATCTCGAATTGGGTTTGGGTCTGGCCCCCAGGGGGGAAGTACTTAGCACGCAGTACTCCCATTCAGTCAGCGTTGGGAGTGTCTGGCGTGGGGTCGCGCAGAGTTTGCCTGGGGCTCTCTTGGAGCCATCTTGAGGCTTCTTCGAGCCTCGTTGGGGACAGCGTGGCCTTCCTCTGGGGATCTTGTGGTCGTTTTAGAGGGACTTTCGAATTTGAGGGCCATCTGGGTGGCCAACCGGGAGCCTCAAGGACAGGTTGAGGCCATCTGGGGATAGATTGCGGCATCTTCGGCTGTCTGGGGCCTCTTGCCGGCCTCCTCGGCCTCCTCGGAGGCGTCCAGAAGCGATGAGGCGAGGCAGCCAAATTCATTGAAAGCGCATTGTTTTTCATTGATGTGGGATATTAGAGCTCCCTTCTGGGACCTCTTTGGCCTTTTTCTGGTTCTCTCAGGGCCTCTCGAGTTCTTCTTTGAGGCCTCTTTGGTGTGCTGGAGCCTTCCCTGGGCGTCTCTGATGGCATCGTGGGCACGTTGGAAGCGTACGAGGGTGGAGGGGGAAGGGGACAGCCAAACATCTCACACGCATCTTCACCCCGACCAAGTGGGGGTCGGTGGACACCTGCATCCATGGAGGTTGTGCCAGTGAATGTCCATGAGCGATTGTATACGTGCATTGTCATCATATTTGCTATGGTCGTGTTCTCTTCGTTCGTGTCGAGCATCACCCAGGCAATGACACTCCTCCGATCGTATCATGCTCGGAAGGTAGAGCAGGAGCTTCTCATGCGAACGTATTTCAGCGAGTTTCGCATCCCCCGGGAGCTCGCTGCTCGCTGCAAGTTTTTCTTGCTTCAGCACGAGCGCCTGGCAAACAAGCGCATCAAGGAGTCGGATATCCCGTGCATGCACCTTCTGCCAAAGGCCATCCGCGAGGAGTTGCGTTACGAGGCCCTCATGCCGTTGCTTAAAGCCCACCCTTTCTTCGACTTTTACATGGAGCTTTGCCCCGTGGGCATGCGGCATATATGCGTCAGCGCAACGGATGAGGTGTCCATGCTCCCGCTCGAAGAGCTGTTCTGGCACGGCCAAAGCGTGAACCGCATGTTCTTTGTCCGGATCGGCTTGGTGTCATATTGTCACAGGGACCACAGCACATTGCCCTTGGAGGTCAGAGCAGGCCAGTGGGCTTGCGAGGAGACGTTGTGGTCGAAGGCGTGTTTGGTGGATGGGCCTTTTAAGGCTGCCTCGGCTGGCTGTGAGCTCATCACGGTGCTGCCAGCAGAGTTCCAGTCGATCGCCAAGCTGCACCCTGGGCCACTGAGGTTCTGCGCGAGCTACGCGGAAGCGTTCATCAAGGAGTTCAACAGCGCGAGCAAGAATGCAGAATGCGACGATCTACTCTTTAACAACCCTCGCACGATCATGCGGATCGTTCGAGACGCCACCGGTGGCGAGGATACTTGGACCCGTCTCAACCGACGTTTGACTGGCCCCACACCGATAACGAAGGTCGCCAAGAGTGGCCTCTGGTTGGGGAGCAAGAAGAACCGCGCCACCCTTGTCCGCGCCTACAGCACTCCCGCTCTGGCCAAGGATGATCCAGTCCACGATGAAGACATCTCTCCACTGAGAGGGACGGCTGGCTGCGCCATGAGCAATGAGCCCGGCAAGGAGGATTCGGCCAGTGGCCCCCACTCCCCTAAGTCTCCTGGCGCACGTCGCACTGTGCACTAGCTTGAAATCGAGCCCGACTCTTCCAGCGAAGGCGCGCGAGGGGTGAGATGTGCGCGGGGGACGGAGACGGGCGCGCGCAGAGGTGTGTTCCCTCGCTCTGCGATTGAAGCGCATTCCCGCGCATTTTTTCAAACAGGCGCCTTCGCATTCTGACAAATTCGTCGCTCTCCTCCTTTGGATCCTCTGATGGTGAGACGCTGGCCGTGCTGAGGGCACGGATGGCGCAGGCACGAAGAGAGTGTGCGTCTCACAGAGCCTAACTAGTGGGATACACAATTCGTATCAAATTCATCGGGCTTGCACTCCATCCGCCGACCCCTTGGGAATTCTACGTGATGGCGGTCATGATGATGATTACGTTGGTGGTTGTTTTGTAAGCTTGTTCTGATTGGGTGTCAGCGGTTGCGCCTGAAGGTGGGTGAACTCATAGTCATATTCGTGGTTGTGCGGGTGGGTATGTTGACAGTTGGTTTGATCGATGTGTTCGTGGTTGTGATTGCGGCTATGCTGATGATCTTGCTGAGTGTATGATGATGGTTGTGCTGGTAGCTGCGCAGGTGGTAGTAGTATCGCTGTCGTTGCATATTCATTGGTGCTTGTACTCGTTGCTGCACAGACAATATTCATGTAAAGTGCTTTGACAGTAGTGATGATGGCTGCGCTGGTGATTGCGATGGTGATTGTTGCTCGGGTGGTTATGCTAGCAGTTGTGTTCGTCATTGGCAGTTGGCAGGAATTGTGATGGTACGGATGATGATGATTGTGATGACAGTTGTGGTGGTAGTGGCGCATGTGGTTGTGCGAATGCTGGACCTGTCTGCCGGTCTGGCGGCTATGTTGTCGCTGTCGCCGCCTTGTCGCCGCCTCGTCGCCGCCCATCGTCTGGGCCTGTCTGGCGGGCTGGCGTCTATGTTGCCGCCGTCGCCACCACGTAGTCGCCTCGTCGCCGCCCGTCGTCTTGGCCTGTCTGCTGGTCTGGCGGCTATGGTGTCGCCGTCGCCGCCCTGTCGCCGCCTCGTCGCCGCCCGTCGTCTGGGCCAGTTTGCCGGTCTGGCGGCTATGTTGTCTCCGTCGCCGCCCTGTCGCCGCCTCGTCGCCGCCCGTCGTCTGGGCCTGTCCGGCGGTCTGGCGGCTATGTTGCCGCCGTCACCGCCTCGTCGTCGCCACGGAGGTTGCTCCAAATAGATTGCACAACATACATTGCACCACGCCGATTGCACAACATGCATTGGTCCAGCTAGATTGCACAACATCGAGTGCACCAAAGATATTGCACCAGTGATTTTGCACAACATAGATTGCAAGCATATATTGCACATCATGGGTTGCGTCACATAGATTGTCCCGCATAGGTTCTCTCTTCTATAGAAGAAGCAGGATCTGCCACCCACCCGTCCACCCCCCAGAATTATAGGTCCCCCTGGAGATGAACAGTTCACATACGATTATGTCCCATCCTTCGTTCTTAATTTGAGTTCATACCAGCCCAGCCAGGCCGGTATCGACCCCACCACCTCATCCTCGGCAAATGATACTACACGCGTGCACTCGCTTATGAGAAATCATCCGCGTTCAGGAGCGCTTGCACACAATGTGACAAAGTGTACACGCGCGCGTCGACACCGTGCGGATTTCAAAGTCGAGTGTCCCGAAACATATACAAACATATGCGTTTGCAACATAGTTGTTCAGCTAACAAGACTGCGCGCGCGCTCTCGCGAATTTTTCAGTACGCCTATCAAAGTCGACCAAATTGGCCTCCTGCGCACGCATGTCGAAGTCATTACAACGCCCTTGCGCGCGTGCTTGGGGGGCACGATACCTGTCAAATAATACTATGCGTGCCACTCGCGCCCGTCGGCCGCGCGCGCATGTCGAAATCCTTCCCAAACCTTCATCGCCGACACGTGTGCACCATCATCGTCATCGGCGTGATCAGCATCGGCGCCGTTATTGGCCTTGCCGTCGTAGTCGCCACCATCGTCACCAGCATCGTTGCTATCATCATCGTGTCTGCCGTTGCCGACGTCGCCATCATGCCGCGCCCGCCCAGGTCACCGACTCGTCCTGAAGTGCTCGCGCGTCAGCGCGGCCTGTGAGACGCGTTGGGAAGGCCCCAGCGGTCAGCGCCACCGCGGCCGCGACGGTCGCGCCGGACTAGCTGGCCGCTCTGCGCGCGAGCCTGCGCACGTTAGCGCAGCCACAGCGATGCGCAAGCCAGTGCCAAGCAGTCACCGCAATCGCCGCCGCATGGGTTTTGCAAACAAGACTGTGGGCGGACGGGTGGGATGATCGTGCGAGCAGTGGATTCGGCACCTCATTGCGAAACAAATAATTGCACCACCTATGCTGCACCACATATATTGTCCCACCAGAGCTGCACTACGCAGAGTGCACCAAATACGTTGCACCACGCACATTGACCTCACTGACTGCACAACAGAAGTTGCACAACCTAGTTTGCATCATATGGATTGCACAACATAGTTTGCACAACATAGAGTGCACAACATAGGCCGCACCACATGGGTTGCACTACACGCGTTACACTACACAAGTTGCACAGCATAGATTGCACACCACAGATGGAGCAATACAACTACTACGGTTAAACATAAAACATTGCACCACGTAGATCGTACCGCATAGATTGTGCCATTTATAAATATATATATATATATATATATATATATATATATATATATATATGTCACACCGGAACATGGCTCCACATACTTTGCACCACACCGATTGCAACACATGTGTCTAATCACATGGATTTGCGCCACATGAACTGCACCACCCGTCGTGCACAACGTATATTGCCCATTGCAAAGTGCACCACGTATCGTGCACAACACACACCGCACCAATAGATGTCACCATTTGTATTGCTTCACATAGATTTCACACATAGGTTGCCCCACGTAGGTAGCACACCACAGAGTGTTAGAAGCACGCTGTTAAGGGCCAACGCTGGCAGAAGTGACGAGTGCCAGGAACGGCTGCATCAGGGATTGAATGAGGGTATGACCGTGGCATCGCTCGGACGTGTGCATTTTTCCTTCGTCGAGGACCATCAAGGAGCATCCTTGATCATTTGGCGAAAAAACCACGCACGAAACCGAAAAAAACACAGGGAATGGACGTCCGAGCGATGGCAGGTGACCGTAATGTGTGAATGATGTGTAGTCTGGCGAGTCGCGTGATGCGCGCTTCGTATTCGTATAACTACACCGTACCGCGGGCGCGCGAAACTGGCAACATCGTCTGCCAGCGGAGCCGCCAGGTTGAAACGGCATCGACCGATGACACTGGCAGAGAGATTCGGCCGCGCAGTTCTGACGCAGGGCAGGTGGATTGTTCCCCTTTGTGTCTGGCCGGCTGAGGTCCACATTCGTTCCAGATTTTCTCATCCAAGCTTCTGGCAGTCAGGTTCCTCTGCCATGCACTTTGGCATGCGGAAATAGTTGTGAAAAGACATCAGCACAGCATGAAGTGTGACAACGCCGGCTCAGACGATGGCGCACGATTGTGACCATCACATTCCTCAACCAAACGAGCTTTTTTACACTTGAGTTCCATTGTTCCTGGAGCATCCGCGAAGGAACAGACTGGTAATGGATGGGCGTGTTTATATTATCCGATTTCCGATCGATCAGTATCGCAATTGTCACTCCCGCCCTAGCCTACCCTCATCAAACGCAACAGTTTGGACCCCATGGAGGGGGCGTGGAGGAGGCCCCAGCATTTCACACGCATCTGACCCCACGGTGTCGACGGACGTTCCTTGCCACGTTGTCCATGCGCACGGCCCGATGCTTCCATAGCATTGCAGGATGCCGTGTGCCAGGCAGCGCACTCTCATCATAGTTAATTTGTCGCGCCGTCCGCGCGCACATCTTATTCGTGCGGTGGCATTGCCCATGGCATGTTGTACACCGTCCTTATCGTGCTGGTGCGTTGCACCGGCGTCCGCCAACACGGTGCGTTGGCTCCTGAGTGCTCGCGAGCTGCCGTGCGTCGGGCAGCGCGCTGAAAAGTGTGCGCCGAGCGTGTGCATAGCACATGTGGCGCGTGCGCTAATTCCGGCTTGCGTTCGACATCCCGGCTACTCCGAATTTTTGTTCCCAGGTTTATGTTTTCTTCTGGCGACCTTATGCCAGCTCTTCAGCGCGGGGCCGTTGGTGTTTTAGCATTTGCATACGCATATTTTTCCGAGCGTTCAGCTTCACGCTGCCCAAGTTGAACGGGGCCGTGAATGCGGCAGACTGAATTCGATTAGCGGCATGGCTTAGTGCTACGCGATTTGATATGTCATTCATTTTGGGTGCGCCCAAATGGCAGCCGATACACGTTGCTGCGGGAGACCTAATCTGCCGTTGCAGAAGCCGCCGCGCCATACGTGTTTTTAGGACAGTGATACCGATTGCGGGTCGCAATGCACCATGCCGACGCTAAACATGCATTTGAACGATCCCGTAGTCAGTTTCAAAGATGTCATCATTGATGTCGCAGCGAGGTTTGCCCATTATTTGGCTACAGTACTCGAACAGAAGATTTTCAAGACCAGTTCTAAGCGGATCACTTTTGCACCTTGATTCTTTCAGGCCCAGTTCTGAGCGGCTCACTTTTGCACCTGATTCCAATCCGATATGCGTTGAGAAATTGTAGGCGCTTGTTTCGGTATGTTTGACCTACCTTCC